TACGCCCGAGCAGTGATCAAGAGCTTGGAAACAAGGTCCGAGGTCGCCCTGGTCCAGGCATCTCCTAGACAACCCCACCGCTGCTCGAGAGTCGTGAGACCACGGGACTCTTCTTCCTCATGTGCCGGGGTGGTCGTCCCGACGGCGCCCACATCACTGGCTTTTCATATCCTTTCTGTTGTATACAAACGTTTGAACACGTCTTTCTGTCTGTTTCCTGCACCGCTGCACCGTAGTGGAAGTGCTCGAACCGTCCTAAATATCCCACAAAGATAGCGTGCACTCTTTTCATGCGCATTTAAGACGGGGAGTTTCTTTCTGTTTGAGCATTCGACAGCAGTTCTAACACGCGGGAGGATGTTATTGTATGTGCTCTCAAGGCGACAGAAATGGGCCGGTTCATTTGATCTCTGCTTCTGCAGCCCTCGCATGCTTTTACCTACTCGTAAAAGTTATGGTGCGCAGGGGATATTATCAATTTGAACTAGTTACGGAGCATGGCGGCGATGGCAAAACTCCACCTAAGAGTGTCCATATAATTGCTATCAGAATAATAACGCTTAGTAAGTGTTTTAAGTTAGCTGTACTTTTAGTTTCCCTTTTGTTTGATTTACGAGTTTCTTTTGCCAATTTTCCTACCGAATCTGCATATTACAAAGTCTTGTTTATAATGAGTTTTTTCGGGAATTTGTCAGTCTTGTTATATCAAGGTTTAAGTGTATCACCAAAATATCACGTCTACAAAAAAGTCAGCTTTGCCAAAAGGGCGAAGCAACGAATGCGATAGCAACATATTCGAATGTTTTATGAAGCAAGACTAGCAACCGACCTCACGTAACTCTATGGAACGCTGATGTAAAGGCGCGTTTACACTAGAGCGACGCGACACTGACACGACCTCGATGAAAACGCGAGGCAGACACAGACCATCAGCTGACAAGTCGCCTGCCGACAAAGTCGCCAGACCCCATGGTCACAGTAGGCCGCCGCCGATGACGAGGCCCCAAAAGATAGCATGTCCTCGTAGTGTAACATAAAAAAGTGCCAGCGTTACTAAAAAAAAAGCTAGTGCATATTGTTCCTAATACAGTGGACTAGCCGATAGTAATTTTTGTTAACTAGGTTTCTTTACATAAATTATTTAAACATCTCAGAACTACTGTTCTATTCATTGAAGCGTCAATGAGGCAGTTGTAATCAAGCTCGTGGGGCATCAAAATGCGCTATTTTCCGCGACGAATGAAGTATGTACCCAGTTTTTCTGAATAAGTGATCTGTGTCAAATGTTAAATGTACCACATGACAGCACTCCCAGCTGCATTGAAAAATAGCACCCCTGATGAATCTGGTTGAAATCGATTCCTTTGCCAATCACACATCCGAAAAGACAGTGAATACACTTGATTGTGATATAGAAGCATGAGCAAGCGACATGGCTTATCAGCTATTCATTTCTGTCAGTTATAGGTCACTTTTCTTACCCACCTCTCAAGACTTACTGATCCACTTGATAAGAATGGCTTTCGACAGCATAGTCAAAGCGCTGCTTGTACCACGGACGAAACCCGAAAGGCAACGAAACAGACGTAAAATATTTCGAAATTTCTGTTCGACAAAATGAAATTCATAGACAAAAGAAAAAATAATCGCAAAGGTATTCATCTTTCATTTTCCACGTGCACCGTCCCCGAAACAGAAGGTCGTGTTTGGTGTCAAACGAGCAGTTACAGCTGTTCGCTCTGCGTAGGTAGCGAATAGACAGTTTGTTTTTCTTTCACAATGGAGCCAGTCACTACAAAAGCAGGTTTACACAGTGAGCATAAAGTTTGAAGGTTGTGTCTCTTTTCCTGCTTTTCCCCTATTCTAATGAACAGAAGGTGAGCATGATCTTTGCCTTGGGAGCCACATATGGCAACACAATAAAGGCCCCAAAGATTTATCGCTCATGCAAGTGTGATAATAGACCTAAACTCTGTTAGTCTGCTTGAAATGCCGCCCGTAAGCATAAACTTCTCTGGTATCGTTTCTTTAATAGATAAAACGAAATTGTCGTCTTCTACTGGTACGGACGAAATAAATACCAAGCTCTTAAAAAACACAAAGCACATATCTGCCGAATTTTGCTATTGCTGTTCTCCCAATCCCTGTCCACAGGAATTCTGCCTTATGACTGGAAGTGTGGGAAGGTCATTCCAGTTCACAAATCAGGTAACAGAGACTGTCCACTAAATTACCGCCCCATATCGCTAACCAGTGTGTTGTGCAAACTCATGGAACATATCATATACTTTCAAATCATGCAGTTCCTTAACTCCAACCACTTTTTTAATCGCTCACAACATGGATTTCTAAAAGGCCTTTCATGCGAAACCCAATTAGCCCTTTTTCTTCAAGACCTGCATACTAATACTAACCTCGATACTAACCTACAAACAGATGCTATCTTTCTTGACTTGATGATTGATTTGTGGGGTTTAACGTCCCAAAACCACCATATGATTATGAGAGACGCCGTAGTGGAGGGCTCCGGAAATTTCGACTACCTGGGGTTCTTTAACGTGCACCCAAATCTGAGTACACGGGCCTACAACATTTCCGCCTCCATCGGAAATGCAGCCGCCGGAGCCGGGATTTGATCCCGCGACCTGCGGGTCAGCAGCCGAGTACCTTAGCCACTAGACCACCGCAGCGGGGCTATCTTTCTTGACTTCACCAAGGTGTTTCACAAAGTACCTAACAAGCGCCTACTAATGAAGCTTTCTCAACTTAATCTAACACCCGATGTTCTAAACTGGATTGCCCAATTTCCGACTAACCGCTCTAATTTGTTTCCCTTAACAATGTACAGTCTAACTAGTTTCCTGTAACGTACGGCGTACCACAGGGGTCTGTCCTCGGTTCGCTGTTATTCCTAATATATATCAATGACTTCCCTAACAAATTACCATGCAATATTTGCTTGTTCGCTGATGACTGTGTTATCTACAGAAAAATTAATAGCCCTAATTAATGACCTCAAGAATGTGTTAGACTGGTGTAACCACTGGCTAATGACCTTTAATCTTAAAAAATGTAAATTAGTTTCCTTCGACTGCCGCGAAAACCCACTCCTATTTTCCTATGAAATCGCTAACATACCTGTCGAAACCAGTGACTCTTATAAATACCTTGGTAAAACTCTAACCCCTGATCTTTCCTGGCGCATGCATATTACTAGCATCATTTTATCGGCTAACCGGTCATTAGAATTTTTATAACGCCACCTGCGTCACTCACCCTATCACGTAAGACTTTTGGGTTACCAATCACTAATACGACCCAAACTAGAGTACGCATCACCCATTTGGAGCCCTCACCAAGTTTACTTAATAAGCACCACCGAAGCAAGGCAAAATCGTGCTGCGCGTTTCATTTATTCTTCCTATTCATATGATATCAGTGTGTCATCCCTTAAAAATGAATCTGGGCTGACCACTCTTTCGTCTCGCCGCAGAATCACTACACTATCACTTTACCACAAGCTTTATCACAGTTCTTTCAGCCAACCTCTTTACATTGCTCCCGACACGCGCGTTTCCCCCATACGGGCCATCCACTTCAAGTCTCCCGACCCCGTTCTAGCACCACTACCTTTTTCTGCATCATTTTTCTGTCGCGCAGCTACATAATGGAATGGCCTTTCCCGCGACATTGTTTCTATCACTTGTCCATCACATTTTGCTCGAAGTGTATCTATGTACCTGTCTCGATAATAAACTGTGGCATTAGTTACATCTCTGTACAACTCACCCCATATGTAACACCCCCTTGAGGGGTCTTTAAGGTAATAAAGTGAAGTGAAGTGAAGCATCAACAATCATGAGAAATTATGAAAACCTGCGAGAAACTGGCTGTTTCACAAAACAGCAGCTGAGAACTCCTTGAGTAACAAACTACTTGCCGATGTTCTGGCATTTATGACAGCAAACCCTCAAGCTAACATGCGAGACGAGGCCGCCAGGCACCCGTTTCTATGTCGTCAGTTTGGCAAATATTAAATAACTCGGATTTGTGTTCATTTGGCTGCGCAAAGTGATAAAGAAGTGTGCTTTGTGAGTAGTTCAAGAAGAGAAACACTCCTTGGGTGGGGTAGTTTTTTGTGGGGGTGACACTTTTTGTCATGACTGCACCTGCGCGTTTCGCTGTTCTCGTGCAAGAATTTTTCTAAATCTGCAGTTGTAAATTGAGCGTCTTTCCTTTCAAGTGCTTCTTTCCTGCTACCTTGTGCGCTCATATATTTTCACATTATGTCTACAGAGCTGTCTTGTTAAGCAGCTAAAAGAATTTCTAATAAATTTTTTGGAAGTAAACTTAGTATACTTTGACCAAGGTAGACAGAATTTTCAAGCTAACAACAAACATTTTATTAAAATGAAATTGGCCACATTTAAAAACATGTTCAAGTAGACCTTTTTCTGCATAGGCATTTCCTACTACACCATAGGGGCTTATAAGAACAAATTTATGAATGTATACAAGTATCTTAAGGTACGATTTGCAAATATCATATAGAATACAATTTTTGAGGTAGTATCTTGTATCCTATTGCGATACGAATTTGAAGTATCTTTGCCCAGCCCTGGTTTTAACGTACAGAAGAGGCATCACTTCAGATGGCTTCTAGTCCAGCTCAGTGAACAAGGAACCTGTACGTGCTTTCAAAAACCTCAGATCATTATCGGACTTGGTCAGTGACCGTGTTTCATCTCATTCAATGCCTCACCAGACGAACTTTCGTTTAACTCTTGATAAGAGGATTCATACATCTGTAATGCATTGACAGTTGTATTTATGTGCATGATCTAGTCTTCGCTTTTTTATAATGTTTACTACTACATTAGGAATGAATGTACGAAATGTATGCCCAGAAAGTAAATGGCTACAACTAGAACTTGTTAGTGATGAAAACTGCATAGCACATGCACTATAAATAATGGGTGTGGCCTAGAAGAGACACTCACAAGCCTTTGGGCAGAAGCTGGTTGACCAACACGGGAAGGCACTCCTTCTGCAGAGAGTCCCAGATGGCTGTTGCATTGGATGCTGCATAGTAGTTGAACAGCACCTTGACAGCCAGGTCAAAATGGAGCTCATCTGCTTTCATGGTTGCAGCAGGCGAAAACTCTGCACCACACGCAACTTGAATGCAGCAGAGGCATCATTTCAATAATCCACGCTTCCTAGAGAAAGTACCCATCAAACCATCTGCTTCTCGTCCACAATGTTGAGTATTAAAACTGCATTCCTGTTGAAGAGGCCATGACACAAAATTTTTTAGCTTTACATAGGCATTTTGTCATAAGCATTAATGCTGTAAGATGCAAGAAATATAGCCAATATGGTTAGACATCATTTGAATTTCCATTGCAGCAGCAATTATACGGACACTCCAGATGCAGTTTTGCGAGCGGCGCTGCCGCAAGGTTCTGTATCAAGTGCCAAGGCAGTAATATGACCTGGTGAAGAGTATGTTATATACGTGAGTGAAGGCCAAAGATCGTGGCTCAGGCAGAGTGGAAATGTACCAGCCATGTCCATTGTGTCAAAGGCTCATAGATGAGATCCCGGAAGGGCTGTGTGACTCTGGTGAGAGTTACATACTTTCAAGAGCAAAATCTGGTTGAACAAGTTAAATCTTGGCAGGATTTACGACACAGCTCATAGGCTTGTACGTGCTGTGCTCAGTTTGAATTGTAGGTTACTTTGCTCACTTCCCTTCCTTCAAAATCTTCTTGAGTTACGCCACGATGGATGACATTCCAATTTGTTGCTATTGCATTCATCACTTGGCCCTCACATTAAAGCTGTGGCTTGTTTCACATCAATAAATGATTTATTAGACTGATGGTGCCGTTTGGTAAGGAAATATAGCAATGTACCAAGAGAGGGTTCCCTGTGGTAATAGAAGTTGATTACAGAATGATCGAAACGTGTTCTTGGGCTGAGTAGTATTGAAAACTGGGCAAGTTGGTAACGATTCATTCTAAGATGTAAACAGCGCGAGAAATGAAGACAGAAGGCAGTGCTCATCTTGTCTTTCTATTTCTCTGTCCTTGCAGTGCTCGTTCTGTATCTATTTCTCTGTCTTTGTTTTTCGCACTGTTTACCTGTTACAATGAGCGTTCTTGGGCTAGTTGAAAAATGGCCTAATATATATATATATATATATATATATATATATATATATATATATATATATATATATATATATATATATATATATATATATATATATATATATATTTCTTGAAAGTCTTCCTGGATTCCGATCGAGTTATAAGTCACCAGAAGAAGTGAACGAGCAAACGAAAAACGATGCTTTATTGCCAACGTTACAGCCGGGAACCGGCCTTCGTCAGGGCATACGTGACCACGTTTTCCTGACGTATGCCCTGACGAAGGCCGGTCCCCGGCCGTAACGTTGGCAATAAAGCATCGTTTTTCGTTTGCTCGTTCGCTTCTTTTGGTGACATATATATATATATATATATATATATATATATATATATATATATATATATATATATATATATATATATATATATATATATATATATATATAGGGGAAAGAAGTGTATGTCTAAGGGCTCGTTTTTCCGTGTTTTGACACAATATTAATGAGATCTAACAGACAGTAATGCCAAGGAATTTATACGGGAAGTTATTAGAACAAATGGAATGTCAATAAGAAGAAAGAAAAGTGGGTGAAAAAATAACCAGCCCTGAGCAGGTTATATATATACAGAAAAGCTATAAGAAGTTGACTAGAGTACAAAGTTGGGCATGTTGGTAAGAAATAATTACTCGACGTAGCGCTAATAGGAAATATCGTTTAATGATATTTCTGCTTTTCCTAATCACAGGAAAAAACAGAAATGAAGTGACAAGGGAGATTATTGAAGCAGAAAAGATTAGTAGATTAGGGCTGAACTGCGTCAGCACTTCTTCTCTCGGTCTTTGTGAAAAAGAATTGTCGTTTTTGAGATCATAAGTTTTTAGCGCATGGCAATGGAGGGTTTTTCATCTGTTTGTCTGTTGTATTCGAATTTCGTGAGCATATATATGTACGCTCCTTGAAATAAAATTTTGTTGGAAGTAAGCGCTCCCGTCTGTCCCTTCCCTTGTCCTATGATTCTAAACGCGCTACGTCGAGTAACTATAAGAAGTATCACACTGGCTCTGATAGTGTAGAAAGAAGCGTAATTCACACAAAACGAACATTTCAACACAGTGTAGTCCGACGTTTCGGCCGTGGGACCGGCCTTCGTCTGGGAATACAGAGCATAGAGATCACGTACCTATACATGTCAATGATCGAGGCCCCCCAAAACCATTCTCGAACCTGGTTTTTGCTCAAGTCATGATCGTAAACTCCGGCAATCATACCCGATATTCAAGTTTAATACTTTAGGAGATGGTATCAATGAGGATGCAGGCACTTTGACGTGTTTTCCTTCTACGTAAGTTATCTTGGTCAACACCACAACAAGCGTACGCTAGCCTGCTTGTTTATCACAGCCGAGTATTTTGACAGTGGAACTTTTCTTTTGAGAGTGAGATCTGCTGAGAATGTATACAAATGAAAAAAAAAGCGATCTGTTTATATATATTGTTATTACTTGTCATCTGCAATGCGTATATTTTACATACCAACTATCTTTGTAAGAAAACTATGCCAATTGTAATGCTGCGATTTAAACGTGTATCCCGTATGAAGCCGTAACACTTGCCAATGACTAACACAGGGTGATATCACACGTGCTGTACAGATATAATTTTTATCACTGAGAACTCTTTTTGTCTGATACACAATATCCTAGTTCGTTGTACTAGGGGACGTGTTTTGGGGGCTTCGATCACTGACATATATGTACGTGATTACTGTATTCTGTATTCCGAGACGCACAGCCGAAACGTCGGACTAAACTGTGCTGGAATGTTCGTTGTGCGTAAATTACAAGTGTGTGTGTGTGTATATATATATATATATATATATATAGGAGGATCTAAGCGAGATCCTTTCGCTTAGATCCTCCGAAGAAGACTGGTCTACCAGCCAAAACTGTTAGGATTAAATAAATTATTGTTTTGTTTCCTATACTGCACTATTCTTAAAGTTTATAATAATAATAACACACACACACACACACACACAGTGAAGAAGGAGATGCAAGTACGAAGTGATTTTATTGACATTCCCGCCACGGGTTCGGCCTTCATCAGAATGATGCTGATGACGGCCGGACTTGCGGCCGAAATGTCAATAAAATTACTTTGTACATGCGTCTTTTTAATTTTGCCCAGACCAAGCATCACATTTTTTGGTAAATATATATATATTATTTCGCTTAAATCCTCCGAAGAACGCTGGCCCACCAGCCGAAACTGTTAGGATTAAATAAATAAATTATTGTTTTGTTTTCTATACTGCACTATTCTCGAAGTTCATAATTTTTATTATGGTAGCCAGAAAAAACTCTGATCATCTATTTCATCTACATTATCATATATATATATACATATAGAGAGAGAGAGAGAGAAGAAACACAACTTAGCGATTGTCTTAATTTATTGATTGATTTGTGGGGTTTAACGTCCCAAAACCACCATATGATTATGAGAGACGCCGTAGTGGAGAGCTCCGGAAATTTCGACCACCTGGGGTTCTTTAACGTGCGCCCAAATCTGAGCACACGGGCCTACAACATTTCCGCCTCCATCGGAAATGCAGCCGCCGCAGCCGGGAATTGAACCCGCGACCTGCGGGCCAGCAGCCGAGTACCTTAGCCACTAGACCACCACGGCGGGGCTGTCTTAATTTTATTACCAACAGTTTCCACCGGTGGACCGGTCTTCGTCAGGGTTCGCGAACAAGTGACGTATGTAATACTAATGAAATAAATAGCGCTGGTGATGTAAAACTTTTCATTTTGGTCGATGCTATTTCATTTCATTTGCATTTCAGAGCAGTACTGTAGTATAGCTGCCTCAGTACTTTCGTAGTTTCGAGGTAATGATTACAAACAGCATTTTTATGCATTGTCATATTTTGCAACAGCTTGAAAAACGCTGTTTGATCGGCAAGCTTGCATGCAATCTAGATTAAATATTCTGTGCTAGCAGTCTGCTACCAAAATTAGCTTTTAAGCGACCACTAAAGTTGCATGCAAGAGCAAAAAGTAACTTTTTAACAATGTACCTGAACTTATCTTTAGCATAGACGCACGATGACTGCGTGCTTATAGGTAACGTGTCTCTAATAATTAACGACATGCCAACACAATCGATGTTATGATCCAAACGACTGAAATCGCACGCTGCGCCAGGCAGACGAGTGCCACTCCACTCATGGGGAAAAGATTACCACCTTGCAGCGCCTTGGGGAGGCAACACTGACATTCTTCAGTTGACAGCCCTCCACGACTATACTTGTTCACGATTACCACATTCATTTTCCCTTTATCCATCACTCGAGCAATTGTTCACCTTTATCAATAGTATTAGGGAATATGAGGTTTTTTACTGTTAACATGATAGATTCAATTTGTCGGGTAGCTGGTTTAACATACCTTACGTGTAATATATCAACAGCACTTCTTCTGCTCTATGCTTGCCTCTGTCATCCTCGTCTTTTCTGCTGTTTCCCTAAGATATGAAACTGATAGCCCTTTAATCTGCGATGCATTAAACAATACTTCATATCCCGAGTTTGAAACTGGGTTCTTCCCAGCTGCCTTGAAGAAAGCCAAAATTAGTCCAGGCTTGAAAAAAAAAAAAAAAAGGCAACAGGCATTTATTCTTTGATAACCAGCCCATAGCAACTCTTTTATACTTCAGTAATATTACAAAAAAGCTGTTAGCGAGACATTAGGAAGTTACCTAGACAAGTATCACATTCTTTCTACAGAACAGTTTCATTTCAGGCCCGTATGACTGAACTAGCCCTTATATCACTAACCGACAAATATTAAGTCTGCCACTGACAGCAGTAATGTTGTTGCTAGTGATTTTTTATTATCTTTCAAAAGCATTTGATTCTACTCCACATTGAATTTTATTTCAAAAGCTAGAGTCAATCAGTGTACCTGTCTTACGATTAGAACTACATAATTCATAACTATTCG